AACTGAGAACTTGAGTGGAAATCGGATTGCCCAATGATGATGTTAATGTGTGGAGATCGCTTAACGTATGTACAGTGAGTGCTGCATAATAAGTGCTGTGTCTAATCAAATTAAATGAACGAAAATAATTCAAAAAGGAGCTGTCAGTGAGACCATAAATTGCAGTGCAATATAACTAAAAACTCGAAAAAAAGAAATTGCTGTGCAAACCTTAAATAAAAATATGAAAAAGCAAAAATTGACTTAAATGAGGAGTCCAAAATGAGGAAACGAAATGATAAAATGAACTCGAAACAAAATGCCTTTAGATTAACGACGAAGACGTGAAGTGCTAAACAATGAAATGTGTGTTGTGAATGTAAGTGGGAGGGAGTTTTTTCGAATGGCTGTCGCCGAACCTCAGAGCTCGAGGCCAATTGTGCAGACAACTTAACTTTTAAACAGTGCACTGATAAAACAAAAATGAAAAACAACGCAACAAAACAAAACGGTTAATGGCGTTTGTGTAACGTACATTGTTCGGGTTGCTCAGGCTCTGGCTCTGGCTCTGGTTCGGGCTCAGGCTCTGGTTCGGGCTCCCACTCAGGTTCAGGTTCAACTGGTGGCTCAGGTGCGCTAGTAGTGGCTTCAATAACAGTGACATAAACAGGTGCACTCTCAATACGTTCGCCAGTGTCCGCATCCTCCGTATAGCACACATAGGGGCCCGAATCAGAAGGCTGTGCATTTGTGATCGTTAAAACACCGTCCTGCTCGACAACCTCATCACTCATCAATTGGCCATCCTCGCGTCGCCAATACGCCAATAGAACATCGTCCTCTTGATCCGGTAGACTACATCGCAATACGATCGTATCACCTTGTGTCACCGTTTCGGATGAAACGTCAGCAACAGGCACTAGATGGTGTGCTTCTTCTACAGGTGATGTTTGTGGTGCTGGAACAACACAGAATCTAGTTCATCAATAACGAAACCAAAAAGAGCTTGAACCGTTGTGTCCCATCAAGCAACTAAACGATACGAAGCAAGTCAGTTCAATCGAACTGAAACGAAACAAGAGAGTTAGTTGTGCAGTGCTTATAACTATCAGAACTCAGGGTTCGGATAG